CTTGAAGGTTTCCAGGGCTCTTTGGTTTTATTATTTCAAATATCTACATCCATAGAAGGCTTTTCATTGTGTCAGTGGGTTTTCAGAGGGAAGGCAGTTTGCTGGCTCTGCTCGATCTCCCAACTTCGCTCCTGCTGCCCTACATGGGTCCTTGCCCCTCTTCATTCCACCAGTCTGGGAAAAACAGTTACTTCATTAAAAGTTTATGGAGTTTTGAGGTAGTAGTAGTAGTAGTAGCAGTGGTAGTAGTAATAATAGTAGTAGTAGTTGTTGTTTTTAAAACCCTTTGTGGATATAATCCTGAAGCGTAGGATATTGATGAAGTTTGGAGCCAAGACTGAGGACAATCTCAGAACGGTGACGCAAGAACATGCAACGAGAGTCAGCAGGAAATGGATGCTGACTTGGCATTAGACCCAACAGGGTGTAAAGTTCAATTCTCCAGTTCAGCTAAGGCCGGCGGCTGCCTTTGGACAGAGAAGCAGCACTTCCATCTGAATTACTACCAATGCTGTATGTTGGAGACAAGTGACTTTCTTGCGACTTACCGGCTGGAGGCAAGTCGCTTTCACTGAAGCACTGTGCTGATGAGTGGACCTTGGAGCGGGCTCACGGGCTCTCAGAAATGGTGCTATTCAGACTACAATCTAGTTACTCCTTTCCTAGTAAAGCCACTGTCTTGCCAATGGGTTTCAGCCCCGGGCAAGTTCGCTATGGATTCAGTGTGACCAAAGAAATCAACAGCAAAACATTCTTGGGGTGAAAGGGTTATACCCAACTTTGTTTCTAGGTGGCAGGTCAGTCACTAGAATCCTATTCACTCAGAGCGAGTCTGCATGCTGCAAGCCGGTCTCTGCCTCTGGGCCCCACTGTCTGCACAGCTGTCCTCTGGGCCTCTCTGTACAGTCGTCCTGCACAGTCATCCTCTAGGCCTCTGTTCTTGGCACTGCCACCACTCCAGCCTCTGCTCTGCTCTCCTGCAGCCTTGCACCCCTGCCACCGTGTTGCACCCAGAGCACTGGGCGGAGCTCTTTTTATAGAGTCAACAGCCATGTACTGCCCACAGGTGTGCAGTGAGCTACTCAGCCAGGGCCAGGTGAGAACCTGGCCACAGGAACTCTCATTTTATCCACAGCCACTAAACAGAATCCTGTTTAATAACTTCAGAAATAATGAAATTTAACCTAGTAGACATTCTCCAAGCCAATTCTTAGATTTATAAAAAAGGAAAAATAGAAATAATATTTACTGAAATTGTAAATGGCCATGAAAGCAGCAGGGTATAGCTCAGTGGTAGAGCACGTGCTTTGCATGTATGAGGCTGTCTTACAGGAAAAAAAAAACCCAAGAGTTTTCATTGCTTTTGCACTTTCTCCCGTGGCAGGGCTTCAGCAAAAGGAAGAGCAGGAGTGGGAGGAAGGAACAATCCCCACCAGGGTCCCCTTCCCCACCACGAAGCCAGCCACTCCAGTGGGCACACTGAAGTTGGGTTTTATTCGGTGTGTGTTGGAAGGGCAAAACAGAAAAGGGCAAAGTATAGGGAAAAAGGAACCACACTTTCTTCTTTTAGTTATCTCAGCAGTCAGATTTGAGCCACCAAACAAGAAGAAATCTTCCCCTGACTTCCTTTCCCTATCTTGTCTCTGCTCTCTTCTGACTCTCCAGGTTCATCCCGCGCAGTCAATCTGTGCACTACTGGATGCGAGCAGCCGGCTGGAGGGGGTGGACCCCAAGCCTTTTTGGGGAGTGACTGGGAAAATCCGGGAAGACCCAAATGGCAGCACTTAGGGGAAGGCAGAGACTGTCAGAGCCAATGCTGAGAATGTAATTGGTAGTTTGGGGGCTGATGGCTGTCAGCTGTCAGGAATAGTTCTGCTTGGGAGATATGATTTCAGGTGTTACAAGTTTTTTGATAGACGCCGGATTCTGGTCGGTGGTAAATTGACTCTCATTAGAGATTTTCACACACCATGTGGTAGAAAACACCCAACCCTGTTACACACATGTAGCTGAAAAATCACAAGGGCATTGGAGAGTAAAGAATTAAAATCCCTTCCGTTCTACATTTCTTCAATGGGCCCACTGTGTTCCAGTTTCTTGTATTTGAAGTAACTTCTAGCCCAAGATGGGCCACTCCTGCCCAAGGTGCCCCTTCAGAAACTGAAACTTGGATCCAATTTTCGTGCCCCTGTGTCTGCCTGAGAGAATTGCCCCCAGGGCAAGTTCACTCTGGATTCGGTGAGACTGAATAAAAACAGCAGAACATTAGGGATAAAAGGGTTTATATCAAACTTCATTGTCACAGTGGCAGGTCCAGCGCTAGAATCACATCTGCCTCTGAGGCCTGTCCAGTCTGTCTCCATCTCTGCCTACAGCAGAGCACTGGGAGGAGCTCTTTATATAGTAACACCTACAATAATGGCTCTTTGCCAATGGGTGTGCAAGTAGTAGCCTAGCAGTAAGCCAATTACACCATCAAGTAGCTTAGTGTCAGGTGAGGATCCTGGCCATAGGAACTTCCATTTTCCCTACACCTATAAATGCTCTGCTTGACCAGAACCACAGTAATAGCGAACCCCAAAGGCCTCTGGGCTTCCTCACCTCCCACATGGTTGAGTATATCTAAACAAACAGATATTTTTTATTTGTCTCTTCCTTGTTTTTATTTTTATTTTTTCTATAAAAGCTACCTGCCTTTTGCTCCAGTTAGCTATTCTTGGAGACTGTTGACTTCATGAAGTATTAAACAAAGTTTGTGTGTATTACCTAAATTGTCTTCTTTAATAATTTTTAACACTTGTTTTTAGAAATTCAAGTTAAATCTTAAAGTGGAATACATGAGATGACACCACACAAAAGATCCCTAGAGTGATGTAGCCTAAGGGTCAGTACATGTGTGTATGTGTGTGTGTGTGTGTGTGTGTGTGGTTGGAAGGATGAAGAGCATAGGGTAGGAATAGATTGATGTGTAAGTTTCTTATATTTCCTAAAACAAACACTATCAATATAAACAAGGAGCCATTAAAAATTATAGAACTGCTTTATTTCTAAACATGATTCTACATAGGGTGGAGGTATCAAAATGAGTTCCATTTCACTTCTATTTGAATGCTAGTTTGTATATCCAAGGAGCAGAAAAACTGTAAAAGCCAAATTTCATAAGAGGGAGCAGAACTTGTTTCAGGTGTACAAACAAACAAAATCTTCCTTTAGTTTCTCAAAGGCTGTAAGGGCTGGAGAGGGTCGGATCAACCACTTACACAGGAAAATGAAAAGGGCAAGACTCCACAGCCACTGGAACTCAGGGTGCCCTGTTTATCCAGCAGGAGCCCCAAACACATAAAGTACAAGCATCCAAGGGTACTGCTTTTGGACTTTTCCAGTTGAGAAGAGCTTTTACAAAGTAGTGTCTATGTCAGGGCAGGTGCCAAGTAAAGACTTTATAGATTCCTTTTTGAGTGAATTCATAGCTCTCCTCTTTGATTTTCCTTCCAGTAACTCCTGGCAGAGAACAAATACTCTCACTGGATATTTTGCATTCCAGAACCACTGATGGCTCTTTTTCCTCCTTGCTCTTTATAACCTCATTGGATTAAACATGGCACTTCCATATGGCCTCAGATAAACTAAGGCATTGGGCAGAACCATGAAAGATAGAAAGTCTCTGTCTAGCCAAATGTCCCATCTGAGGGTTTCAGTCCTGGGGAGGTTCACTATGGATTCAATGAAGTTGAAAAATGGCAACAGAACTTTCTTGGAGTCAAACGGTTTATAGCAGTCTTTTTTCTCACAGCTAGGTCAAGCACTAGAATCACATCTGCAAAGGTAATGCAGAAGGATACAAAGAAGAAAAGACAAGTGCTTTAGAGAAGGGGAGTAGTGGGATTTAGGTCCTCGTGGAAGAAATGACAGAACGGAAAGAAATCATAAAACCCAGCATGAAATGCAGAGTGACAGTGTGTGTATGCAAACTTAGGGCAGGAACCTGAGCAGGACCCAGCAGCTGCTTTCCTCTTGGAGGTTCTGTTTTAAGACAGAAGGAGCAGGGAGGAGGGAAGTGAACAATACCTTTAGCTACATAACCTCTTCAAAAGGGATTCTCTCCAGAACAAGGAAGGTGCAAGGGAGATGTGTGTGGGCTGAAGCATCATATGTAAATGAACTAACACTTTGTAGGCCTAGAGAGCATCTCAGGCCTCAGACACTGAGGCTGAAAGAGCTGATGCCTTCTGCCTTTTGCCATTATTTTGTGAGATAGCCAACTAAGATAGGAATTTTGGATAAAGCCTAAAAGCATAGTAAAAGCATAGTCTATGCAGGGCCAGACAGTAATTTATATTATTAGAAAGCTTCCCAGATTCAAAATCTGGCAGATTGGGAAACTGACTTAGTTAAGACCCAGAATCTGGTTGGAGTGAACTGAGTTACTGGGGAGACATCACGCTGGGGAAAGCAGAGTGGGAAGGGTGAAGCTGTGAGTGATTAGGCAATGGGATGAGGAGCAGTTGAGGTTAGCAAAGTAGAGAGGGATTGAATATGAATCTTTAAATACAAATAGGATTTCGATACTGGGTAGGAAGGATGTGTCAAGCTCCTCATTTTTCCTCTGCAACCTCTAGGTACAAGGATATACTGGAATCCTGTATATTTTAAGGGAAGTGAGCTGAAAACTTTTGTGCCACAAGAAGATCCAATCCATTTTTACCCAACCTCCATTGGCTTTTGAGAGCATCAGGGAGATCTTTCCATACCTGAGCTCTTCAGGGCGCACCCAGGAGCTTGATTTTTGCAGGAAGCCACTCTTCCAATCCTAATGCCTGACTGGTGATGGGAGTAGGTTAGGGAGAGAATAGAGGTGGGATCCGCTGGCTGCTTTTGGCTCCAGTATGTGAAGTACATTTGTAACTCACTGGCTTTTAACACTGTGTAAGAGTGCCAAAGAGGTTGATAACTTAATGAATACACTATGTACTAGACTGTCAAAAAAAGGAAATACAGGGGTTCAGATAGTTCAGTTGGCAGAGCATCAGACTTTCAATCTGAGAGTCTGGGGTTCAAGTCCCTGTCTGGGCAGCAGGTGGGGGTGTGGCTTCCTTACCGACGTCCTCACTTCCAAGAAGTATTTACCTTATCTCTGCTGGCCTTTCGAGGTCCCCACAGAGGAAAGCAGTTAGTGACAACCTAATGACTTTGAGAAGTATAAATACGTGGAAGTAAAACAGGTAAGGTGATTGCATCCTGGCCTCTTGGTGTGAGGAGAACCTTCACTTATTTTTTCTTGTGTAGAGATGGTAGGTAGTACCTTCCACTAAGCCAGAGGAAATGAAGGCTCTTCCTTTCCACTTGCTGATAGGTTGTCATCTATCTGCTTTAAGATGTAGTCTTGTGAAGGAGGTGTTTTGAAACCATAGCGGTTCCTGAGACTACAGATCTGTAGGAATCTCTGATTGGGACACTTTAAAAATTACTATTACTTTTTATGCAGCTACAGAGGAGAGGGACTGTAGGTAATGTGAGAATGGAAAAGAGTTCACCGTGATTTGAAGATGGAGAACTTATTAATGGTATTCGTGGAAAACCTTTTAGTGAGCTAGAGTGATCTTGGGCTGTGGATTCATTCCAGACAGCATAATGTTCCTGGAACTCCCTTAGAAATCCCAGTGAATGTTTAGAAATACAGGTGAGGTTATTGCTATCTCCCTTCTGTCCTCCTCTGCCAATATTGGTGATATTAACAAATATATGTACACATATACATATATAATATCATTTATATAAATTATATGTGCACACATATGCAGATACGTTGTCACCCATCAAAAAGTATTCATCCATTAACTGTCTGTGGACTAATTTCATTCTAACAGTAGCTAAAAGTAAATGCTGAATTTAGATTGAAATGAGATTTTGTCTTACTTTAGAGACTATACTGTCCATTACTTTTTAACACTGTCAAAGAGGCTAAAAGCCATCTTGGAAAAATAGAAAGGGAAGAAAATCTTTAGTGTCATCAATGGTATACATTTAAAGCCACAGTCATCATCTTACTTAAAAGAATAATTTGTTTGGATAGTTGGGAGCAACAGTAATTACACAGGGGAAAAAAAGAGAAACCAATATTGAAAAAAGAAAGGGCAATATTATATATGTTCTGATAGTATAATTTGGTATATCAGGAAAGAAACAGAAGCAGTTAAAAACCCATATAATAAAGATCATACAAAGGCCAAATAGGAAATATATACAGTGTGTTAGTTATCTATTGCTGCATAATAAATTGCCCTTTTATGACCTAGTCTCTGAAGTAAAACAACTTTCTGCCTCATTTGAATCATTAGAAGAGAGTTTGTAAGGGAAATTAGTCTACTCTTCTTGAAGGGAGGAGTATTAAATAATTTGTGGACATTTTTAAACCATCATGACCACCGACAGTCAAGTAGAACATAGGAAAAAATGTATTTGTAATTGTTATAAACATATAAACTAACAAGTTAAATTAAAATATACACAAGCTATATAAATAAATCAATATTATCTTCATGAAGGATAGATGTACATATTGTAGTGCATGGAGAGAACATCTTGTTCTTAGACTAGAATGCTTAGTATTTAAAAGTATCTGTTCTCCCCATATTAGCCTATTGCAATGTGTTCTTCCATATACAACAACAGTAACTGCATTATTCAAAGCAGTAATAGTAGTATAACTCCGTTCAGCTTCCTGGACCCAATTCCAGTATGTGTATGTCTGTGGAAGGGGGTCTTTCCCACACATCACTCCAAGCAATTCTCAACACTGGCAGGGTGTTGAAGAACTCAACTCAATTCTGATGCTACCCGCCCAGAGACAGCACCACATTCCCCAGGTTAAGGAATCCATTCTACAAGACTGCCCTCCACCCCCACTCCAGATGCCAGTCCCAAGCCCCAAGCTGTTACTGTGCTTCTGACCTACCAGCTACAGGTTGGTTCCCACGACCTCCCCCTTAGGTTCTATTAATTTGCTAGAATGGCTTGCAGAACTCAGGAAAAGCACTTAGGTTTACCAGTTTCATAAAGGATGCCATAAAGGACACAAGTTAACAGCCAGATGAAGAGATACATAGGGCAAGGTCCCAAATAAAGAGCTTCTATCCCATGGTGCTTGTGGCCTGGCTCAGTGACACATGGAGGTGTTATGGTTCCCCCAGCATAGAAGTTCTCTCTCCAACAGAGAAGCAGGATCCAAGAGAGCTATAAGCTCTTCTTGGCTTTTTGTGAGGGCTTCATTGCATAGTCATGATTTACTAAATTATTGGCCATGGGCTGATTCAGCCTCCAACCCCTGCCATTCACTGGGGATTCCAAAAGTTTCTCATTGACATGACAAGATACCTATTTCACCTTTAAGACTCTGCAATGCTTTCAGAACTGTGGATGAAGACCAAATATACCTGGAAAATATATATTTGGTCATATGAATTACCAAATATGTATTTCTTTTGACTCATTATATTGCACTTACAAATTAAAAAATCTCTCCCAAAAAGTCAGATATAATTAGTATTGAAAAAATATCAGTAGAATCAGTTTCTAAGGGAGTTCCAGGAACATTATGCTATCTGGAATGAATCCACAGCCCAAGATCACTCTAGCTCACTAAAAGGTTTTCCATAAATACCATTAATAAGTTCTTCATCTTCAAATCACAGTGAACTCTTTTCCATTCTCACACTACCATAGCTGCATAAAAAGTAATAGTAATATTTAAGGTGTCCCAATCAGAGGTTCCTACAGATCTATAATATCAGGAACCACTGCCCAAACAGGAACTTGAACCCTGGACCCTCAAATTAAACACCTGGCACTCTCCCAACTGAGCTACCCAGGCCCCTATGAGCTTCTTTTGGCAGTCTAGTATATAGTGAATTCGTTAAGTTATCAACTTCTTTGGCGCTCTTGAACAGTGTTAAAAACCAGTGACTTACAAATGTACTTCACATACTGGAGTCAAAAGCAGATATTTCCCTTAGTAGATACAGATCATATAAATCTACAATAACTAAACCAAAATGGAAATGAATCAGAAATAGATCAGTGCTATTGCTTAGAATATATGGGAACTAAATACATGTAAACTTTTAGTTTGTTTTTCTTTTAAAGACATACCATTTGCTGGAGTCAGTTTGCCTGGGTTCCAGTCCCAGCTCTGCCATTTACTAGTCATGTGACTTTATTTGGTTTCTCATTTTCTCAGCAGTTAAGATAACAATAATACCTACCTCACAAGGCCCTTGTGAGGGTTAAATAAGATAACACAAGGATAAAATAATCCAAAATTCTTAACCTGGAGCCCCGTGATCCTCAATGGAGTTTGTGGATAGATTTCAGAGGTTTAAGAACTTTGTATGGAAAAAAATTACAAATTTATACTTCCTAACCTCTAAATGAAATTTATTATTCCTTTTATTTATGAATACAGGCAGCAACCACAAAATATTAGCAGCATCTGTGGTTTGCCATCAAGAGAAATCACAAATGTAGTTAAATTCATCACTAGTTGAAATTAGGATAGTTGTAAGGCCAACCACTAAATCATATGTTGTTGAATGTACCTGGTCAACCATTGGACAGCTCTCCAGCTGATAGTCATCAGCCATGAAATGAGAAAGTCTCCTGTTCTCACATTAGTGACCCAGACGTCACATTGCTTTTCAATAGTTCTGTCACAATCATTTATTGATCAACATAGAAAGATAGTGAGTAATTTTCACTATTAACATGTTGCAACACCGAGTGACTCAAATGAGAATTTTAAACTCTTGTAAGGTAGTACACCCTTTTTCTAACAAAGATATGCATGCTATGACTGCAAAACAGGCAGGCTCAAACAAAAGTGACAGTTGAGAAATCCCTTCAATTATGTTACTTAAAGAAAATTCCTATTAGTGCTAAAAGCTTTTTTCAGTGATATGGGTCATTCACAATATTTTTCATTTTGTTGCTCACTGAGATTTCTTTTTTAATTTGTTCCCTTTGACTATATTTTCTGTGAACAATGATTATATATTTTTTTCTTTCCAATCATTTAAACATTTTGTTTTTATTTTGCTTGATTGCAAATTATGGCTTGTATTTTGTTTATATTAGTTTATATTGTTGATATGGCTTACTATTGTTTTTTATATTAGTTTATTGATGGGGTAAATTATAGTATATTAATATAATATTATACAGCTACTAAAAAAGATGTGCTAGACTTTGGAGATACAGAGGTAAATAAGACAGTTCCTAACATGAAAGAATCCATAACTTTGTGGGGCTGAGAGAAATCAGAATAAGCTTGAGAAACTTAAAAACACATATGACAATATAATTCCAGTTGTTAAAAAAATTAAACTCATAAACACACACATACACAGGGGAAAATACTGGAATCACATACAACAAAATGTTAACAGATTTTTTTTTCAAGTAGTGGAATCTATCCTGGTTTTTATTTCAAGCTTCTTTCTTATCTGCATTTTTCATAGTTTAAGCAAGGAACATCTATTTCTTTTAAAGTAAGGAAACAAAACTATAAAAGTTATCCTTAAATCAAATCTCTCCAGAGCTCACAATATTTATTTGGTCCCTTGCTAGTTACTGCAAGGGATTAACCTTTGGTAAGGAAAGAAACAAGAAACCAGGAGCCATACATAACACAGTGTGACAGAACCATAGAACCATTACAGTGGTTAAGAGTGGGCAATCTAGAGAGTTAACTCATCCTGGAGCTTGCATGGGGTAGTAGCACAAAGGATCATGGATTAGCAAAATTGATTTTTTAGAGGTTATAAAACATAACTTAGAATGCCACCTCTGATAAAAAAAAATAAGCAAAAGCATACTAATGTTCTTGGGAAGCACTGCCCAATATAATGTGAGCGACAAATGCCAACCACATAGATAATTTAAAATTTTCTAGTAGTCATATTGAAAAAAGTAAAAAGAAACAAGTGAAATTAATAACATATTTTATTTAACTCAGTATCTAAAATGCTATCATTTCAATAAGTAATATAAGTGTATTACCTAAATATATTATGTTCTTT